TAAAAATACAACTCTAGCCGGGCGCGGTGGCTCAAGCCTGTAATCCCAGCACTTTGGGAGGCCGAGACGGGCGGATCACGAGGTCAGGGGATCAAGACCATCCTGGCTAACACGGTGAAACCCCGTCTCTACTAAAAAGGTGGCGGGCGCCTGTAGTCCCAGCTACTCTGGAGGCTGAGGCAGGAGAATGGCGTAAATCTGGGAGGTGGAGCTTGCAGTGAGCTGAGATTCGGCCACTGCCCTCCAGCTCGGGCGACAGAGCGAGACTCCGTCTCAAAAAATAAGTAAATAAATAAAAATAAAAATAAAAATACAACTCTATTCTTCCCCCATCTTTGTGTGTAATACCTGGCCATAAAGAAATTAGACCCTCATTCCAGAGGGGTCCTGCTCCATATCCCAAAGGAATGTGTTAGCAAAAATTTAAATCCTAAGCCTCTCAACTGGCAGAATAGACCCCGCTCTATGCCAAGGTGAGCTGAAAGACACCTGAAGAACTAGTTCAGGCCATGACAAGAAGTGGGGTCTGACCTGCCTTGTTATACTGTGTTCTCTTTGGAGTTAAGACACCACTGACCAGCATTAACACTGAAATAGAGATCATAGGCCAGGCATGGTGGCTTATGCCTGTAATCTCAGCACTGTGGGAGGCCGAGGTAGGCAGATCACCTGAGGTCAGGAGTTCAAGACCAGCCTGGCCAACATGATAAAACCCCGTCTCTACAAAAATACAAAAATTCACCAGGCATGATGGCGTGGTGGCTCATGCCTGTAATCTCAGCACTTTGGAAGGCCGAGGCAGGCAGATCACCTGAGGTCAGGAGTTCAAGACCGGCCTGGCCAACATGGTAAAACCCCGTCTCTACAAAAATACAAAAATTAACTGAGAATGATGGCGGATACCTGTAATCCCAGCTACTCAGAAGGCTGAGGTAGGAGAATCGCTTGAACCCAGGAGACAGAGTTTGCAGTGAGCTGAGATCACACCACTGCACTCCAGCCTGGGCAACAGAGCAAGACTCCATCTAAAAAAAAAAGAAAGAAAGAAAAGAAGAAAGGAAGGAAGGAAGGAAGGAAGGAAGGAAGGAAGGAAGGAAGGAAGGGAGGGAGGGAGGGAGGGAGGGAGGGAGGGAGGGAGGGGAGATCATAAGGCTGAAAAAACAGATTCTTTGTAGCAGTAAGACAGCAAATTCAACCTGACCCTCTTATAGTATCACATGACAAATAACAGGCCCCCCAAAAAATCAAAGTATTTTACCCCAAAATATATTTCTTTGAAATATTTTCAGATGGCCCTGCAAAGTTGTCTCTTGTGGAGAAAATCTACATTCAGTAAATAATCCCCTTCCCTTTCCATGTCTTTTCCTGACCCAGGAGAGATTTAACTAAGAGTCTGGCATCTTTTATGTCCCATAAGAGACATTTACATCTATTCTCTCTGAAGCCTATTGTTTAGATGCTTCACCTACAAAATAAGAACCTTGATTTCTACAACCCTCCTTATCTTAACTCAAGCATTTCTTTATGCTGACTTCAAGTCATCAGGCAAAGCTTAATTATTATCAGCATTTTTGTTTTGTTTTGTTTTGTTTTTGAGATAGGGTCTCACCCTGTCACCCAGGCTGGAGTGCAGTGGTGCAATGACAACTCACTGCAGCCTTGACTTCCCAGGCTCCAGCAATACTCCCATCTCGGCCTCCCAAGTAGCTGGGATAACAGGCATGTGCCACCACACCCAGCTAATGTTTGTATTTTTAGTAGAGACAGGTTTTTGCCATGTTGCCCAGGCTGGCCTTGAACTCATGAGCTCAAGCAATCCACCTTCCTTGACCTCCTGAAGTGCTGGGATTACAGGTGTGAACCACCACACCAAACCAAGCTTAATTATTTCAATCGATTGTCAATCAGAAAATCTTTGAATCCATCTATGACCCAGAAGCTCCCCTTCCCCATCTTGCCCCCTCACTTTGAGATGTCCCACCTTTCTGGCCCAAACCAGTGTATACCTTACATACCTATAACTTCTGTCTCCCTAAAATGTATTAAACCAAGCTGTAACACAATCCTCTTAGGCGCATGTTCTTAGGGCCTCCTGAGGCTGTTTCACAGGCCCTGCCACTCATATTTGGCTCAGAATAAACCTCTTCAAATATCTGACAGGGTTTGGCTTTTTTTGTCAACAAAATAATGCTACATAGAAAGGCCAAGAAAAATCTGGACAGGCTTTGCTGAGTTTCCTGACTCTGCCTATTAGCATTAGAGCATTAGATTTTATCCTTTTTGTCCAATCATATTTTATATGGCTATCCATACTTCATTGAACATAAGCATAAAATGGAAGTTTTCCCTGCATCTTTGGGTCTTCATTCTGAAGCCTCCCATATCATATGAAACTATACTTAAATAAATTTATTATTCCTTTCTCTTGATAACCTGTCTTTGTTACAGGGGTGTTAGCCATAATCCATATGATGGAGAGGAAAGTAATCACCTCATATCTGCCTCTACACTTTCCAGAGCTTAGAAATTCCACATCTAAACTCCAGCAGCAATGGCTGGATCTCCTTATTAGAAACTGCTTCGGCCGGGTGCGGTGGCTCAAGCCTGTAATCCCAGCACTTTGGGAGGCCGAGGCAGGTGGATCACGAGGTCGGGAGATCGAGACCATCCTGGCTAACATGGTGAAACCCCGTCTCTGCTAAAAATACAAAAAACTAGCCGGGCGTGGTGGAGGGCGCCTGTAGTCCCAGCTACTCGGAGGCTGAGGCGGGAGAACGGCGTGAACCCGGGAGGTGGAGCTGCACTCCAGCCTGGGCGACACAGCGAGACTCCGTCTCAAAAAAAAAAAAAAAAAAGAAAAGAAACTGCTTCTCCCTGATATTAATTGTCACTTACTAAACCTCTCTGTGGTATTTTCCAGAGCATTAAAATGATCTGATGATGGTATCTTGCACACCAGTGATGAGTAAGGCTGATTTAGGAGATCTGACCATCTACTTTGCTTTCTGTTTTACCATTCCACAAGCAGCCTTCACAAAAATGGCTTTTAAGAAGATAGCAGCTCTCAGTAGAGGACATACAGTTCCTTTTCTTTCCCAATGAATGACACCTCCTTCATTTTACTCCTTGTTGCCTATTGCTTAGGGTTCTCCTCATTCTGCACCCCATTCCCAGCTTGTTGATTTTTTAGAGGCAACACTTTCTCATCTACTTTATCTTACTACAAAAACTCTCCCTAAAACCTACTATTAAAAACGCTTCCTGAAAAAGCTCATAGAGTCTCCAAAGCTCCCTACTGAATACGAATATCCCTAGTGAAATAGTTTCCTATTTTATCATATAATACATTAACTAATTTCTACCTAAAGCCAAAAGTTAGTAAGAGTTGAATATGTAGAGAGAGAATCTTCACATTAAGCACCTTTAAGACTCAGAATATAATACTATAATGCAGGGTATAATAAGCATTTAGAAGTGATTTAATACAAGTATTAGTTAAATGAACACTGTATATGGATCAACATACTCTGATTAATGAAAGTACAAATTCCCAGAGAGCAAATTGAGGAATCCAAAGAATTCTAAGAATCTTTAATTATAGTTTGGATATCAAGATAAATTAAATCAACTATGCAATTTCCAAATATCTTTCATACAGGATGATGTAGGCTAAAATAATGATACAGCAAAGTGTTTAATTACAAAACGTAATTCTCCAGTGATAATGTCACACCAAACCTCTCTTTTGCTTACTAGAGTGTCAGCTTGGTGTTCAAACAGCCAACTTTACTACTGCTAGGTCAAGTTACTGACAGTTAGTTATATAAGGTTAACTCTCACCCAAGAAAATCCCAATAAATAAGAATCGTTATGTTTTGCGTCCTACTTCATGATACAAGAAAGGAGGAATTAATTTTAAAAGGATTATAATTATCTAGCCCAACTTCAGAATCAGTATTAAATTTTCAAAAAGAATAAATTTTCAGAAACAACATTGACATTTGCTACCAATCAAGGATAAAACTTGTTTATACAAATGGTGTTTAAAGACCAAAAGTAACAGAATTTTCCTCGCTGTCTTTTCATCCTCCCAAACCAGCCAACTAACTGTTGCAGGGAAACCAGCAGAGGGAGCACCAATCATTGTGTTTTTTTTTTTTTTTTTTTTTTTTTTTTTTTTTTTTAAATGTGCGCTCTGAAAAACAAAAGGAATTGTCTTTTAGTGGATATGTAGATACTTGTTAAGACTGGTAAAACCCTTATAAAATACAAATATTATTTGCCACTGTTAAATTTCCCCTTTAACTGATTTTAATTAATCAGTATTGAAACATTTTATTTATTGATGCTTTTAATTAAGAAAGTAATACCTGTTTGCTGTACGAAGTGAAACAAACCAGGGGAAAATTTTTTTAAACCAATATTTTCCTATCTTTCCTTCAGATCTGTATTATAAACAGACTTGTGTATCTTTTCACATCCTTCTCATAAAAACAAATTATATATACACATATATATGTGTACTGCTACATGGAGAGACACTTATAAATATACACACATGCACACATATGTGTACTCCTACATATATGTATATATGTCTCCCGATGTAGGAGTAGCCTCTCTTTAGGTAACAAAATAGCATGAAATATCCTCAGATATACAGTGGAAAATTAGGAAATGTGAAGTAAACACAATGTCAGGCCATATAACAACCATGTGTGAACAGAGTGTCAAAACATATAGGCCTGAAATTATATCACTGCCTTCCAAATGAAAAATCTAAACACGTACGAGTGAATGTGTGGACCCGGAAAAACAAATAAGCAAACCAGAATACAAATATCCGTCTTAAACTGTGATGAGGAAAACTAGGTGAATTAATTTCTGTTTGCAATTTATGTTACCAATCTCCTCACAAAATAAAACAAAAACATTAGCAACAAAACCACTTAGGAGCTTTAAAAAGTGAAATATATTAAAATGCATTCTTCAAAACTCACAATACTGGCTGGGCACGGTGGCTCACACCTGTAATCCCAGCTACTCGGGAGGCTGAGGCAGGAGAATCATTTGAACCCAGGAAGCGGAGGTTGCAGGTGAGCTGAGATCGTGCCTTTGCACTCCAGCCTGGACAACAAGAGCGAAACTCCGTCTCAGAAAAACAAACAAACAAACAAAAAACCCTCACAATGTTTTACAAATTCTAACCGAAGTAGAGCAAATCCCTTTCCATTCCATTTATTCACGTAATTGAACTAAATAAGCAAAAGAATATAACCACAGATACCAGTGGAAGAGACACTTCATCCCACTCCATAGACAGAATCCCTGAATTTCACTATAGGTTCTGACCCTGTCCAACATCATCTCTTTACAAAAAGATCCTTCTAAATTAGTGAGCCCAGGACCCAGAGACCCATCTAGCCAGGTGGTAGCTGTTTTTGTGGATTTACATTTCTGAAGCCAATAAATTCGCCGAGGCTCCACGGCCTTTACTGTGTATCCCCATCCATTCCTGTCACTCAGCATGCTCTCCTTGTTTTCCTCCACGTCTCTGCAGATGCACTTTCAGAACACAGCCTTTCAGAAGTATACTTCATCTTTACCAACTTCTACGCACCCTGATCCCATAGCATGGGGCTATCATTTCCCACACAGAAAGGAAGGAAATATTGCAGAGGGAAGAGACAGGATGCAAAAGGAAATAATGAGAAAAAACTTACAAGGGTAGAAGGGAAAGGCCCTACTTACAGGGTTCTAAAGAGAAGTATTTCTGGGAGTAGGGAGTAATTAATCAACTGCAGTATCCATCCCATCTCTCCAAAGCAGAAAAAGGTCATTTTATCTGCTTGTAAAAAAAAAAAAAAACTTTTACTAAGGGCTTTAAGCATTTAGAAACTCTTTCCAAAACCACATATTTGTGATAAAATAAGAGAACACAGTATAGGGATCCTCATTTCATAGATGAGGAAAACTGAGGAATGGAGAGGTCAAAAGCTGACTTAATGTCACAGGAAAGGCAGTTGCAGAGTTAGGATAAGACCCAGGGTTCTTGACTCCAGCCCTTTACTTTATCCACAAAGTCAACACAAGCAGTCTAGATTTGTTATCTCGCCCCCTTCTGTCTCAAAGGCTGAGTGACAAAGAGCCCTTAGTGTGATACTGAGTGTAAATGACAGCACAGGAAGTCCATTCTCAGGGCAAGCTGTGAGACTGGCAGCTGAACAGGAGGCCAGAAAGCAAGTCTGTACAGAGCACTTTCAGTCTACACTCACTATCTCGTCCCTACTAATGCCCAGAGTCCACAGAAGCCAAGGGAGGGAGTAGGGGAGGCTGCGGGAGGGTCCACTTAGTTCATCAATTCCTGAGTATCCTTTAGCACCACAAAAGGCTGAGACTTAATGAGAAAGAAATGAATCATCTATAGAACTGAATATTTACTTTAAAGATGATATTTTCTGTGTGTAATTCACTTATAAATTATGAATTTTATAATTGTGAACTGTCTGTATAACTACCGTGCAGCTTTTCAAGGAACACTCTTTTCTGACATGGTACTAACCTGTTAATTCAACTCTTTGAAACATGTTAATACAGTTCTCAAGGAATTCCATCTAGTCACGTAACACATGTTTGAAGCTGAAAATGCTGAAAGTGAAGAAAAATTGTATCAAAACAGGTTCAGTATGAATATCAACCATATATGGAAGAAACATTTATATGGAAGCCACACCCATATGGATTCACAGTTGTATCAGCCAAGATACTGTAAGTATACCAAGTGTGTTAGTCTAACCATATAGCATAAAGATAGATTTACTTGTGCTATTATGGCATGGTTGTTTACTGCAAATACAAAAGAAAATGAAGCCTACCATGACCTAATTCCACTGTAAATTGGATTTTATTATCTTCCTGTAAGCATACATTTCATTACAAACATTTTATTATGAAAGGATGATCAAAGGAGAAAAATAAATTAATCATACATGTACAACAATATCTCAAAGTATAACTTGTAATTTCCCATTTACTGTTAAACTGACCAGCACTTCTATAGTGATCAAACTATCCTGTGAAAAGAGATGTTTTACATAACCTTATACTTAATTTTAATATTACCAGTTCAATCATATTTAAATTGATTGAAATAGACACAGTGCATTAAAATCTGACACATTCATTCTTAATTTTAGATGTCCAAAAGTTGTGAAAAATTCATCTCTAAGATGCACACTTTGATAAAAAAAAATTTCATTTAAAATGGTTTCTGTTCAAAACATTAGTCATCTATAAAAATAAAGATACATAGGGAATCATTAGTGAAGGAGATTATTTTATATTATTTATTTATGCCTGTATTTTAATTATTTGTAAAGTCAATGAGAAGATAGTTTTTTTCCAGAATCTAGAGTACAACATATTTAAAGAGAGAAAGAGGCACACAAAGTAAGACACAGACAGAGATCCAAAGAGACAGAAAAATTGCAAAATGTTCTTACTTAAGACACCAGACTACTTCAGTTACAGCATATGCACTCCTAGGTCAGGGTTCCTAAATCAATAGACTGAAGAAAAACTGCCTTGTCGTCAGAACTCCAAAATACATGGGTCTCAGGAGAAACGAATACGTGGAGCTGTAGATCTAAATCCAAGCTCAACTCTGTGGAAGAAAACAAATTTTACCTGTAAAATAAGTTGAGCTACTTGACCAGTACATTAGAAATTACACAGCAAAATACTCTAAAGACAGGATCCTAGACTCATTTTCCTTTCAAAAGTAGGGGGTGAACAGATAAGGGACACTAATTGCGGCAAACAGAATGCAAAACTGAAAAGCTTAAATAAAAAAGACTGATGAAAGCATAACATTAAAAAGAGAAGTGTTTAACTGTTAAATCATCCAAATTGCTTTGCCAAATTTTGACATGCTTGGTTTCCTGTAGTAAAATCTCCCTCTTTTTTTTTTTTTTTTTTTTTTGGCTTTTGGAAAAAAAAAAAAAAAAGTGAGGAAAAATAACCAGCTGTTCCTTGTATAGTTCAGGAAACAAGTTTGATTTATTACTTTAAGGTTATTTTTGAATGAGCTGCTTGTGGCAGCCAGAGTGCAGAAGTCACTGAGGCCTGTCCACTTGAAGGGCTCAAACTGTTTCCTGAACAGCCCTTCTTCACTCCTCACCTCCGACGGCTATTATTGACAACGTGTGACTGGGGCCTTCTAGGATTTTATAACAGCAGGGGTCCCAGCCAAACAATCGGGCTGTCAATTACCTTTTCCCCTGTTGTGAAAGAGGGGCCCAAGACAATGCAACTTCTCAGCAGGGAGTTGTGCAGCTCCAAGAATGTAACCCACTCTTGCATCGTTCAGCATTCAAAACCAAGTAAATGGTTGGTGCCTTCACTTTTGTCTGTGTGTGTCGGTGCAAACCAGAATTACTGCAAGGTGTAGATGTCTCCATGGCCGGAATTTTAAGTTCCTGCTCGGGCAAAACTGACTCTGTACATTGTTATCTCTGAGCTTCATGGAAGTTTTTTCTAAGTTCCCAACAGACACAGAAAGTCTCCCTCCCCCCACCTCCCAGCCTCCTTCTGTAAGCTTGTCCTCCAGGAACGCCCAAGCCTCTCTACCTATATTGTGGCTTAAAAAACTTCCTGTGGGCATTGATGACTTGCTGTGAGCACTGTCCATCATCCTGGCCCTTTGTCTGGCAGTCACTTCCATTCGAATTTGACTGACTGAGGCAGCCTGAGTTATTTGTAAAGAACAACAAGGCTTTTCATTCATAATTTTAGTAGGGGGACAGGGTGCTAATGACTGAGCTTGAAGAACTAGGGAATGTGGTATTCAAGGCAGGAAGAAGCCCAACTGGCTGCCAGATGAGGGAAGGAAAGGATGTAGGTGAAAAGTGCCCGCATAAAGAGCCAATGACATGAAGATCACATGTATACAAATAGAAATTGAGTTTTTAAAAGGTGAGATAATCTGAAGGATGGAAGCAGGAAGGAGGGCAGGGAAAGTCTAACAGGATTTCATTAACTTTGAGGTCGAGTTACGTGCCAGAGTTTACAGAATCCAAAACCCTATAAAGTGTCTACAAAGAAAGTGATCTTTTCTTCCACTGCTGGTTCTCCTACAAAAACAAAAGAAATAAAATAAAATAACAAAAAAAGGGGAAAACTGGTTTTCACTCTTTTTTGGTACCTTTCACCTGTTCAGACAAAGAGAGTTTGTTTTCCCCCTTTGGAACCAAATCTTCAAAGAATTTACTTTTGGGGTCTCTAGTCCATTTTATGTACATACAGCATGAACATAATGTGTAATGATTTTACATATCTGCTGCTTCCAAAGAAGAAAATTTGCAAAAAGGTAAATTTATGGTTGAATTATTTGTATAGGTAAGTCTTATGTGATTTATCTTTCTTGCAAAAATAGTAAAATTGTGTTTTCTTTTTTTAAATTCAGCAATTAAAAGTCACATTGAAGTTTTCATGTATGATTTTGTTCAAAGATTCATAGAAAAAGACTGAAATAGCAATATTGCATATTTGCAATATATTGCGAATTAGCAGAATGATACAAGGTGCTTTAAAAAAATTTAATTCTGGCCAGGTGTGGGGGCTCACACCTGTAATCCCAGCACTTTGGGAGGCAGAGGCGGGTGGATCACCTGAGGTTGGGAGTTCAGGACCAGCCTGACCAACATGGAGAAACCCCATCTCTACTAAAAATACAAAATTAGCCAGGCACGGTGGCACATACCTGTAATCCCAGCTACTTGGGAGGCTGAGGCAGGAGAATCGCTTGAACCCGGGAGGCGGAGGTTGCAGTGAGCCGAGATCGCACCACTGCACTCTAGCCTGGGCAACAAGAGCAAAACTCCATCTCAAATAAATAAATAAATAAATGTAATTCCATAAGTGAAGAAATTTTCAATCATTTGTAGAAAATCTTTACTATGTTTCTTTCATTAAAGCAAGTCAAATAAAGGCAACAATTGAACAATAACAAATGCTGATTTTTGTAGAGATTGGCAAAAATAATTTTTCAGGCAATGAGACTCTGGCTCTTTCCATGTTTAGTCTATTAGGATTTGCGTTCTCAGGGAGCACTTAGGGCTACTGAGGCCTTGGTCAAAGTTCAGACCCTGGGTTGGGTGCTTACTGATCACTAAATTCCTAAGCCATGAGCAGACCCAACAAACCTTCCTAAAAGCAGAGGAGCTATTGCCACTACTCCATGGCCCACATCCATGATTTCCTTTCATTCTGACAACCATCCTATTCTGTTCAGTGGGGAAGCAGAGGCATGTACTTTCCATTCATTTCCATCTAAGTACGCAACAAAAGCAAAGGCCAGTGAACAGATAGCTGGGGAGTTCCAACACTAACCTAAAGTAGGCCTTTAGTGGGCTTGTATTATTATCATTTATTAATTTAATTTTGTCTGTATTTTAAGTATATATATATATAAAAATATATGTATATGTAAATTGAAATAATGTTAGATAGACCATGTCATCTTGTGGCTTGCTGTGCCACCTGAGCATATCCTCACAAAAACCCTTAGGTTTTTGAGAAAAGGATTAAATAACTTACCCCAAGTCTTAGGATAAAGATAGATTGAAAGCTCAATCACACCCTGGTTATTCTATATTCAAAGCCAAGTGAAGCCTCACCATGCTCTTCTGTCCACTATCTCTTGGAACCTGGAACCTGAAGCTCAGGCAATTGTTCCATGAATGACAGATGTCACAACTGGCTGAGTCCAAGCTCAAGTCAAAACGTGAAGTAAGTGAAGGTAATTACCTTTAGTATCTTCTTAGACTTCCCCATCAGCTACCTCTATCCTCTTCTTTGGTGGTATATGTTAATAACTGGCTTCCTGGGATTAAAAAAACAAATTTCAACATCTGGGGATGTCTATGTTGTAAACACATTGACCACGGCTAATTCTCTTTTCTTTTCTTTTCCTTTTTTTTGAGATGGTGTCTCGCTCTGTCACCCAGGCTGGAGTGCAATGGCACGATCTCAGCTCACTGCAACCTCTGCCTCCCAGGTTCAAGCAATTCTCCTGTCTCAGCCTCCCAAGTAGATGGGATTACAGGCACCCACCACCACGCCTGGATAATTTTTGTATTTTTAGTAGAGATAAGGTTTCACCACATTGGTAAGGCTGGTCTCAAACTTCTGACCACAGATGATCCACCATCTTCAGCCTCTCAAAGTTTGGGGATTCCAGGCATCAGCCACTGTGCCTGGCCACCATGGCTAATTTTCGAACCTGACATTACTAAAAACATGGGAAGATATGCACATATTCAGCTCTTGCAAGCAGGTATAAGCCTGTTCTAGCACCCACCATCATCTATCCATACTTTGTTTCATGTCTTGTCTACATTCTATTCTTGTTTTCGGTGAGCTCTGAATCCCTATTATGATTTCAAAGTATAATAATATAATGATTTTCGTTTATTGAAGGGTTATTAGAAGTCAGACATCTTCTAAACACCACACGCATTAAGCATTTAATCCTCACAGTGATGCTCTGACATAGGAAATTATTTTATCCCCCACTTTACTAGTAAAGAAACTGATGCACTGGGAGATTGAATAATGTATAAAAGGCCCCCTTCTGGATCAACATAAATCATACTCTATGTGAAGGTTCTTGTTATCTTATTTTTTTTAATCTCCCCATGTAATTCTAATATATGGCCAGGGTTGAGAACCATTAACATAGTTAACAAAACAAGAATCCTTGCTATTTGAAAAAAATACAATAACATCCCTATTGCATGTGATTAACTATATGTTAGGTCTTGGATAAACCTTGATTCAAAGTTCTATTTGGTTGTATAGAAACATATCATACATTGAAAAACAATAGCTCTGTAGAAATAATGAAGTGAGAATGTAGGTTATCTTTAGGATATAATATAATTTTCTTAAAAAAAAATTGTGAATAACCTAAGTATCTCAATTCATAAGGTAATAGTAAATTTTATAATGACTTTCTGGCTGTCATTTCAAATATCACTTATTTTTATTTACTTATTCCACTTAATTTTGTGTTACCAGATAAAATACAGTATGAGACATACTAAGAAACTGTCGTTTATCTGTCATAAAAATGTAACTGATTGTTCTATGTTTTTGTTAGCTCTGGCAACTATAGATTAATTTGGGGTGAGAATTGTCATGCTTTGAATCAAAATGTCACATAAAATCATGTTCCTTTATTATCTTTCATCAACCAAACTTGTCCATCCACCACGCTTGGCCTTGAGAGTATGCCAATAAGCAACTTGGCTTTATCATTCATACCAAATAAATTCTGGATGATTCACAGAAAAAAAATGCAAATGTCCAATGAATATAAGAAAATATGCTAAACTTCTGAAGTAAACAAAGAAAAACATGAAACAATGAGATATTCTGATTCATCTACCAGATAAGTACTTATTTATTTATTTATTTTTGAGATAGAGTCTCTCTTTCACCCAGGCTGGGGTGCAGTGGTGTGATCTTGGCTCACTGCCACCTCTGCCTCCCGGGTTCCAGAGATTCTTCCGCCTCAGCCTCCCAAGTAGCTGGAATTACAGGCACCTGCCATCATGCCCAGGTATTTTTTTTTTTTTTTTTTTCTTTTGGAGAGACGGGACTTTACCATGTTGTCCAGGATGGTCTTGAACTCCTGACCTCAGGTGATCTGCCCACCTTGGCCTCCCAAAGTTCTGCGATTACAGGCGTGAGCCACCGCGCCCGACCTAAGCACTAATTTAAAATCATCGGGAATCCAGTTGGTATGAATGATAATGTTAAATTATAAATGTACTAGAAGGGCCAATATTTTTATAATTCGGCTGCAAGAAGCTATTTTAAGCAACTGAACACAGCCAGAAACCACAAATGAAAAAATTGATAGGCATGAGTTTTCACACAAGTTGAAAATGTCTTGTAGGGCAAAACACAAAATAAAAGGAAAAATACTGAAAGTAGGTTTGAAAGATAAATAGAAAATGGGAGAATTTTTGCATTTTTAAATAGGATACATCAGAAAATAAATAAACGAAGGACAAGGCCCTCAATTAGAACATGGAAAAAGGATATGAACTTGAATTCACAAAAAGAAAACAAAAAGCAAATGTCCAATGACTATAAGAAAATATGCTCAACTTCTGAAGTAAACAAAGAAAAAATGGAACAATTAGATATTCTGCATCACATACCAGGTAAGCAATGATTTAAAATTCTGACAAAGCTTGCTATTGGTCAGGGTTTGGGGAAATAGTCACTCTCACAGATGGGTTAGAAAGGTAAACTGGAATAATGTTTTGGAGAGCATATTAGCAGTATTATTAGAAATTTTAAATATGCACACATTTGATTCAAATTCTATTTTCATGAATGTATCCTAAGAAAACACAAATATGCAAATATAAAGAAGCATGCTTATTACAACACTATTTATTCTAGCAAAGCAACCTGTCCCCAAACCTCCAGATGTCTGGAATCTAATGACTAGCAATATGGAATTTTAAAGTAAATATTCACCAAATATTAACCAGAAATGCCACTATGATGTCTCAAATATACTTACAGAATTCTTTCTGGGATTTTTGCTTTTATAAGTTTAGAAACTGTTTGAGTTTCTTTCTTTTTTTTTTTTTTTTCCATACAGTGAGTATATAATTCAGAAAATAAATAAATAAATCCATTTGCCATTTGGAGAGCAATTATAGGAAAAAAAAATAACATGTGCACTTTTTTCTGGATGATTCTGGAACATAAAGTACTCAGTATAAATTGATGAAAAATGGGTATTAAAATATACTAGAGATTTTTGTTAAAATTCTCTACTACTGAAAGCATACTAAATCCCTCCTGATCCCAGCTGGTTCTTTTTATAACACCTGCTGAGCCATGATGCTAGTGACTACATGGAAGAGGTACTTACCCTTCAGGTACTGCAAGCTGACAGAGGGTATTTGATATTATCTTAGATTTTAAAAGTATCACGATTTGTTATAACTTGAAACGTAGTTGTGAAGGTAGAGGAAAAAACAACTTATTTTATCAATTGTATGAAGTTCTGGGGAAATGAATGCCAAACACATGAAAAGAGTTGTTTGTCTAACCTGACAAAAACAAGCAACGGGGAAAGGATTCCCTATTTAATAAATGGTGTTGGGAAAACTGGCTAGCCATGTGAAATACCTATGTCATTACATAATTTATTATAGGTGAACGTATCTGTTCCTCCTAATGGGGGATGGAGCTTCTAAACCATTTCAGACACAAGTCTTCATTCCAAAAATATATACTTCAATCCAGTGTTGGATAAGAACCTAAATGTTGGATAATATCCTAAATGTTACCTCAAGTGAGAGGGAATTTACATTTTCAAGCTTCCAGATTTCCTGAACACATAATTCAATGAGTAGATATTCTAGTTAGAAACAACCATACAAGCTAAACAGCTCCCTTCTTCCCTAAAGTGTTTTATGTACTTTGAAGAAGTCATACATGAAAGCCCAGTCAATGTACGGTGAAGATGTAATGTAAGAAACACTGTCTATTACTAGGTAAATATAGCTAAATGCAGGTACACTTATTCTAAATCTCGAAATTATTATTCCTATGTTTATGCAAACATAAAATAAATCAAATTCTACTAAATTTAAAACTTTTTGAAAGTATGGCAGCAAAACAGCTAATTTTACTAAATAAACTATCAAGTCCCATTTAACTGAAGTTATTGCAGATACTTATTGAGAACTTCCCATATGCTAGACTGGGTAGATATTTTATGTCATCCAATCTTCCAAGTGACCCCATGCCTCTCTTTTATAGGTGGGGACTAAGGACTAAGGGTAATTATTTCAGTCATGTATTCATTCATCCTATTTTTTTTTTTTTTTTTTTGAACAGGTCTAGCGTCGTCAATAAATCCCCAGGCCTGGAGGTGCAGTGGCCGATCTCGGCTCACTGCAAGCTCCCGCCTCCCGGGTTCACGCCATTCTCCTGCCTCAGCCTCCCAAGTAGCTGGGACTACAGCGGCCCACCACCCACGACCGGCTAATTTTTAGTATTTTTAGTAGAGACGGGGTTTCACCCTGTTAGCCAGCATGGTCTCCATCCTCCTGATCTCGTGATCCGCCGCCGTCCTCCCAAAGTGCTGGAGATTACAGGCTGAGCCACCCGCGCCAGCTATATCATTCTATTGAAAAGTAATGTTTGAGCTCCCCTGTATGTATTAGGCCCTTCGGTGCTGGACATACAATGGTGGGCAAAACCAGACTTGGATTCCAGCCTTCATGGGCCTTAAAATACAGTGAAAGAGACAGTTATTAATGAAACAATCACAATTATATGTATAGTTGCACTGGAGAAGGTCATGAGAAAAAAAGGTGGGATTTCACCTAGTCAGAGAAGTCAGAAAAAGCTTACCTGAGAATATGACAACAGGGATTTGAAGGATAAGTAGGCCATCCTGGGCTACATTGTGAGATATTGTCTCTAAAAAAAAAAAAAAAAGGCAATTAGCCAGGCATGGTAGTGGTGCATGCCTGTGTTCTCAGCTACTCCGGAGTCTGAACTAGGAGGATTGCTTGAGCCCAGGAGTTTAAGGCTGCAGTGAGCCAGAATAGGACTACTGCATCCAGCCTGAGTCACATAGCAAGACCCTATCTAAAAAAAAAGAAAGAAAGAGAAAGAAAAGAGAAAGATAAATAAGAGTTAATAAAGCAAATAAGGTTAATAAGAAAAGTGCATCAGGGAATAGCATGTAATAAGGCCCTGTTGCAGGAGAGAGGTGCTTCTGAGGCCCTAAAAAGTAGCCTTCATAACTGCAGGGTAGAAAGCAAGAGAGTGGCCGGGCGCGGTGGCTCAAGCCTGTAATCCCAGCACTTTGGGAGGCCGAGGCGGGTGGATCACGAGGTCAGGAGATCGAGACTATCCTGGCTAACACGGTGAAACCCCGTCTCTACTAAAAATACAAAAAATTAGCCGGGCGTGGTAGCGGGCGCCTGTAGTCCCAGCTACTTGGGAGGCTGAGGCGGGAGAATGGCGCTAACCCAGAGGGCGGAGCTTGCAGTGAGCCGAGATCGCGCCACTGCACTCCAGCCTGGGAGACACAGAGAGACTCCGTCTCAAAAAAAAAAAAAAAAAAAACAAGCAAGAGAGTGTATAAAAACAGGAAGAGAAGAGAAGAGGACGAGACGAGACTGGTATAACAGGAGTTTGGTGCGGGAAAACAGCCAGACCAGAGTAGGACCTTGAGGTTGTTTGAAAGACTTGGATCTTTACCCAGGAAGTAATGTGAAGCCAGGGGAGAATTTAAGCAACAGGCAATCGTGATCAGATTCGCCCAAAGTGGTCTAGATTGCATCCAAATCCAGATATCTTGAACTACCAAAGAACGTATTACGATATCAAAAGTTTAATCTTGAGCAAGTTTTTCTATTAGCAATTACAGTTTAAAAAAAGAAAATAATAAAGATTTTGAAAAAAAAGAAAATAATAAAGATTTTGAAAATCTAATTTCTGGTTTTGTTGTTGTTGTTGTTGTTGTTTGTTTTTGTTTTTGTTTTTTTTTGAGACACAGTCTCTCTCTCTCGCCCAGGCTAGAGTACAGTGGCACAATCTCGGCTCAATGCAACCTCTGCCTCCTGGGTTCAAGCAATTCTGCCTCAGCCTCCCAAGTACCTGGGATTGCAGATGTGTACCACCACGCCTGGCTAATTTTTGCATTTTTAGTAGAGATAGGGTTTCACCATGTTGGCCAGGCTGGTCTCGAACTCCTGACCTCAGGTGATCCATCCTCCTCAGCCTCCCAAAGTACTGGGATTACAGGCATGAAGCACCGTGCCCAGCCTGAAAATCTAATTTTTAATTTTCCTCACATATTTATATATATGATATATATCATATATAATTTTTAATTTTGCTCATATTTATTTGCTCATATATTTATTATGTTTAGGATATAACGCAAGAAAGTCTCTGTCGTGTAAAATGAGGGTAAGAAGAATACTTCTCAAAAGTGCAAGGGGATTTCTCACATAGAACACTAACGGCAAACATTTTTCACTAATTGATGGCTTCCTTAAGCTATTTTTAAAATGTGTTCTTGAAAGTTAACAGAGTGCTAACTTCTTATTTGAAATTAGTTTAACACTTAATTTTAATTATTAATATAGTCGTATTTTTCAAAGTAAAAAGTTTACTTTTACCTATATTCTTTACCCACCCATCACCATCCTGTTTGCTAATTTCTTTGCTATATAGTTTAAAACTAGATGTTCCCTACAGCTTTCTTTCCAGTTACCTAACATTTCCATAAAGATTTATTTATAATTTAATATTCTACCTATTAAAAATCATAGCCCTGGTTGGGCGCGGTGGGTCATGCCTATAATCCCAGCACTTTGGGAGGCCGAGCTGGGTGGATCACTTGAGGTCAAGAGTTCAAGACAAGCCTGGCCAACATAGCGAAACTCACCTCTAGAAAAAATACAAAAGTTAGCCAGACATGGTGACAGGCTAATAGGTAGCCTGTAGTCCTGGCTACTCAGGAGGCTGAGGCAGGAGAATCACTTGAACCCAGGAAGCAGAGGTGGTAATGAGCTATGATCACACCACTGTAATCTAACCTGGGCAACAAAGCAAGACTCTGTCTCAAAAAACAAAACAAAACAAAACAATCATAGCCTTAACAGAACTGTTTCAGTCACTTCCTAATAATTATGCAAAACACAACGGTAATTTCTAGAACAGCTAGAATGACTTCTGCCATTAAAGAATTCAAAAACTGTGAATTTCCTTTTACAAAATTAAGACTTTAAAATATTATCTTATTTTAATCATACTTCTTAATTTCATTCATTCATTGAAAAGCATTTATTGAGTGTCTAGTGTCTACAGAGATCTTTCTTTTTTTAAGAATGAAATGCTGGGCTGGGCACAGTGGCTCACTCCTGTAAGCCACTTTGGGAGGCTGACACAGAATGATTATTTGAGCCTAGAAATTCAGGACCAGCCTGGGCAACATAGTGAGACCCCATTTCTACTAACAATTTAAAAAAATTAGCCTGGCGTAGTGGCATGTGATTGTAGTCCCAGCTACTTGTGAGGCTGCGGTGGGAGGATCCCTTGAGCCAGGGAGGTCAAGGCTGCAGCGAGCCATGATCACACCATTGCACTTCAGCCTAAGCAACAGAGTGAGTCAAAAAAAAACAAAAACAAAAACAAAGAGAGAGAGAAAAGAAAAGGAATGAGAGGGTGAAGAATCTTCCTGTTTCAATTCTAGGTTCCAAAGAAGTCCAAGTCAGCCTTGATATACAGTCCCCAGATCCTTGGAGCAGTCTATCCTGTAAAGTTCCATCCAACACAGTATGCACAAACAAAGCGGTTTCTACCTACCCCCAATATTCTCAAATGATTCTCTGTAACTTCAAAACACTTCCTGTCCAAAGGAACAAACAAACTAAATCTGCATGCAATCATGGTCCGTTTACCAAATAGAACAATTTTGGACCTGATCTGTTAGCGGAGGTTAATTCCGAGCTGGCCGGGAGCCCTGATATTGTGTGGCATCTGCACAATAAGAATGGCTTAAGTGGAATCTGTTTAACTACATCTTTCTTAGAGAACAGGTTGAACTTCCTATGCCCTTTTGACCAAGTGTCCACATAATAGGAAGTATAAAACCAAAACCCTCCAACTATTCAGAGGCTAAAATCTTCCAACTGCTACTAATCTTGGCCAGTAATATCCAAATACTAATTTCAATTCATGATTTTCACTGATATGATCCTTTAGCATCTGGGTTAAAAAGATTCCAGAGCATAGAGGATCAAATGTTAAAAACAAACAAAAACAAATAAACCTAGGGCTATTCAGGGAAATGCAGTGAAAGAATGCAACGTTCTCACTGATCAGATTTTCTCTGCACACATCAGTCCTACAAAGAAGTTTAATCTTCAAACCAAAGGACAAATAAATTGAAAAAATAATGAGAAAAATCATGTTGGCCAGCAGAGAAATTCTGTTTCTGCCTTGTTACAGAACTTCAGTTCACATCAGACCTTGCATAAACTGTAGTCATAATGTGCACACGTTTCACAGTATTCATTAATTAACCAGTAAAAATCACCAGGTGGATCCCAGTTTGAATACAAGGCCTCCGGCAAAAACCAGACCCACAGGAGCCTGGAGCTCAAGGTCAACTCAGCAACACCACTCCTCTTACCCTGAGATAACCCCAGAGCTTTCCCCCAGTTTAGTTAGGGATAAAGAATATATCTCCAAAGAAGGTTAGATCCAGAGATAACTGTTTCCAGTCCTTCAAGCAATCTAGATAAGAACTCAAGTGGTCTATTTTGAATTCCTTTGCATCTTTTGTTAAAACCCCCCCTCACCCCCCTGCAATTCCCTCGGAGAGGCATTATCAACAGAATTTGGGAAATTCAAAAGTGAAATGACTAGAGTCATGGTTGTCAAAACAAAAGGTCCATCATTACAAAATCCTTTGTCTTAGGAAGGTCCCTGAAGAGGCCATGCATAGACTAATTTTACTATTTCAACTGGGCTGTTAGGAGAAATAATGGTTGAAAGCCCCAAACTGTTAGTCCTGGAAGCAGCATGCACTGTTATGTTCTGTGCCATATTCAAATAGACTGCCTTGGTAATAGAACTAACAAACTAACCAAATAGCTATTCATTCTTTTTCTCACGAATGTGTGATATCATTTCAAGATATCAGTACTAGGACTAAACCTATTAAGGCCAAGTGGCTTGCTCAATCCCAGAAAGAAACAAGCTACGGTTGCTAAAAGCTGCACTCTCCCGTTACTACAACATAAATCCAAAGCTTACACCAGCCAGCAAGTGCAATCTTACAAATATCTCACTTCAACTCACGGAACACACCTACTAGAAAAGAAACATGTCTATTGCTGTCTTCAACCAAAGATTGGGAAAAACAAATTCACATATTTGATGTACTGTCTCATTGAAAAAGTTGAGATTATAGTTGTAAGATGAAGTAATTATAAATAAATGAATACAGAATATAAAATGAAGCCAGAGATGACAGATCCCAGTGTGTGACCAGAATCCTATTTAACAAGTACTAGGAAGGTATGTTACTTGGTGAGTATTAGAAACTTGGGGCCAAGAGCGGTGGTTCATGCCTGTAATCCCAACACTTTGGAAGGCTGAGGTGGGTGGGTCGCCTGAGGTCAGGAGTTCGAGACCAGCCTAGCCAACATGGTGAAACCCCATCTCTACTAAAAAAATTACAAAAAATCAGCCCGGCGTGGTGGTGGATACCTGTAATCCCCGTTACTCGGGAGACTGAGATAGGAGAATCACTTGAAACCGGGAGGCTGAGGCTGCAGTGAGCCAAGATATCACCATTGCACTCCACCCTGGGAAATAAGAGGGAAACTGCATCTCAAAAAAGAAAGAAAAAAATTTAGAAGTGAATTATTGGTGCAGCATTGATTTCCATGGATTCTGTATTTTCCAGCATTAGGCAAATGGCAACACCTGTTCATGTGTCAGGGTTGCCTCTCTAGAACTTTCTACAACACATTTGAAAATAAGCTGTGTGTGTGTGTGTGTGTGTGTGTGTGTGTGAAGTTGTCTTACATTCTATCATACTTTTTTTTTTTTTTTTTAGCTGGGCGTGGTGGCGTGCGCCTGTAGTCCCAGCTACTCAGGAAGCTGAGGCAGGAGAATGGCGTGAACCCAGGAGGCGGAGCTTGCAGCGAGGCGCGCCACTGCTCTCCAGCCTGGGCAACAGAGCGAGACTCATGTCTCAAAAAAAAAAAAAAGAGAGAGAGAGAGAAATAAAGTGTTTGAGATATAGCTGAAGTGCCTATCTACCTCCTACCTCATCCCTGTCTCCTCCTTCCCACCTCAGAGGCAACCACTGTTCTAAAGCTGAGTGTATCACTCCCACGTGCATGTTTATACACAAATAATATACAGTAGGATTTGATGTATTTAACCTTTACATACATAGTAATTAGCTATACATTGATTGTACTTTTTTTTTACTCAATCTACTTTTTGAGACTTATGTTGACAGATGCAATTTTAGTTCATTCTTTTTAACAGAGAAAAACTGTATTATTAATTTCCTATTGATGGACAGTTAGGTTATTCTCTAACTTTTGTTCTAACAAACAATGTTACAATGAATTTTTCTTTTCTTTTCTTTTCTTTTTTTTTTTTTTTTTTGAGACAGGGTCTCACTCTGTTGCCCAGGCTGGAGTGCAGTGGCGCAACCACAGCTCGCTGTAGCCCCAAACTCCCAGGCTCAAGTCATCCTCCTACCTCAGCGTCCTGAAAGCTGGAACCACAGGCATGTGCCATACCACACTCGGCTAATTTTTTATTTTTTATAGAGACGGGGTCTCCCTATGTTGCCCAGGCTGGTCTCTCACTCTTGGGTTCAAGTGATCCTCTCACCTCAGCTTTCCAAAGTGCTGGGTTTATCATACTTCTAAAGTATCTTCCAAAATTAGTCGCAGTTATAATTTTGGAATGTAACATGAGAATCAGTTTGGGGACACACTACAGTAGCTGCAGTAGGCATTTCATTGTGCATGCATCACACATACACAAAAACATAGTTCCTCTTTTGGATTATAATTCACTAAGTAAACTTTGGAGGCACAACATGGTAGCTTTACACACTTCATTCTCTGAGAAAGAGTAACAATTGCAGTAATTAATATAAAGACTAAGGAGTAAATTAGAAAGAATCAAACGGATTCTTGTGTTTATCTTGAACTTAAGTTACAGGTTAAACGTTTTCCCAGCCAGCAAACTGGAGATTGTGAGGAAAGGGGGTGGGGGGCAAGAGCTAGATGACCTGAGATTCTTTATAGCTCATGGAAGATAACATAAATTCCTAGATTTTCCCCAAAATATAAGGTTCTCTAAACAGCTGGAAATTCCCGATCTAAATTCCATTGCATGCTTTGATCCCTAACAATGTGTCTTCGCAAAGTTCCTGTAGCGCTGGGAGACGAGCAAGGCACAAGTGTCTCCTAGAAAGCCGCCATCGAGTGCAGGAGTTTGGAGAGGCGAAGAGATGGCGTTGCTTTCACCTGCTCTGCTCGAGACTTGCTGGCCGCACACCAGCAGCACGTTCCCGCCTAGCCTTGCACAACCAGGCTTTGACCCTCTCGAGCAGACAGGAGGGAAAGCTATCTTCTGTGTCGTTTATATTAATAGCTTTGTATTCATTTTAAACCAACCTGCCTAGTGCACACACGTTTTGGAAGGTAATCCAGCCTGTCCGCGTCGAGTCCCGGAGAAGAAAGTCGCCTCAGGCCCGCGCCGGGCGGGCGACCCCTGGTGGCCAGATGGGCTGAGAGCACAGCGGCGCCTGCGTTCACTGGCGGCTCAAGGGATTCGGGCGTCTGGCGTCCTGCTGTGGCCGTAGAGGCCCAGCTGTCTTGCGCCCACAGCCCCGGGACGCTCGGCAGCAGGCCCTTGTAGCCTCGTCCACCCTCATCTTAGGGGTCGGGGGACGTAGGCCAGCGCCCGGAAATAACGCATGCCACGTCCCTTGCCATCTCTGGTTCCAAATCCCTAGAGAAAGAGGAGAGCCTTAGAGAAACATGGAGAAGTCAGGGTGAGAGCGCAGCGAGGCAGAGAGCGCGCTGGGGACGTTCTAGAGCGAGAGCTCAGAAGAAGGCAGCTAGTTCCAGGGTAGCTGCGAATGGATTGGGTTAAAGCTGGACGAATGAAGCACCATGTTTTCCTAACACTGCTTTCAAGAACACCCCGCATGGGGCAAGATCACAGGTGCTATTCGGGAGTTTTGACCGTACAAGCAGGTAATTCCCTGTGAAGTAAAAGCATTCTGTAAGTCGCTCGACAGAATGCAGTATTAGGCGTGTGTATGCGCGAGTTTTAATTTTCCACTGGTGCTCCCACGTGAAGGCACATTTCTTAGTAAAGGAACGGCAGCTAGGACAGTGCATATGTATGCATTTTCTATGTTTATTATTTTTTTTTTAATGGGAAAGAATAGTACACCTTCAACATGGACAACAGGATCTTAAGAAACGTTCTAGGTGGCAAGAAAAGTGGGAAATGAAGGATGACTTTTAGTTAAGGGAAGAAGGAAATCTGCAGGGAAACAGTGAGCCAACCCTTCCCTCCTCCTCCCCCCCCATTTCAGAAGCCCATGCTGTCGCCCTGAGTAATCATATTTCTTGTCTATTAATGAATTAAGTTAAAGGGCTTAGACTGTAGACTTTAGCTATTGCATGAAACAAAACAGTAAGGAAGCTCTTCAAAAAGCCTCCATTCATAGATAACCCCCCTTAAAAATGAAATTCTAATAAACGGAAAAACTACAAGTCGACACAATCAAAAGCCAATCCCAGCAAGAGCAGAAGGTACTTGAAACTCGAATCTGCATTCCGCTCCTCCCGTACAAGGCTCGGAGGTGGGGGAGGCGGTTTGTGCTAGTGCCTGGTGTATAATCGGGTTAATCCAGTAGACAAAGAATAAACCAATAGCCCTCCCACCTCACTTCCCGCTCCCCTTCCCCTCCCCCTTCTTCTCCCCCCGCCCCAGCCCCCGTCACCCCCTCCGCAAAGGGGAACAGAAAAGGGGAGAGGTAGACTTGAAATGGATTCCGGATAAAGTCTTAAAACCTGCAACTTGTTTTTCATGCTAACACTACGTGGCCTGGATTAGTCTTAAATGTTCATTCCCCTTTCCTGGTGGCAAGGAGAAAGTTCCCTAAGTCAGCTCGAGCCTCTGGCTCGTCCTCATTGCCTCTGGGGAAACCTTAAGGTCAGTGTTTCCTTGAAACTAGATAAACTGACCCTGCAGTGCCCAGCCCGGCCCCGCGGGCGCCCCGCGTGACGGCGCCCGAGCTGCAGGACCGGCCTGGGGACGCGCGGGGCGGCGCGGTTGCCCTTTTGAATGCCTCCTGCGGCTCGGAGCGCTGGCGGGCGCTGGAGTGTGAGTGAATGTAGCCCCGCGGAGCCAATGAGCTGGGACCGGATGCGATATATCCTCTGGGACAACAACTGCTCTGTTCCGCCTCGGATCCACATGACGCCATTTACTGCTGCCGCGGCCGCCGCAGAGCTCCCTGCCTCCTCCGGAAAGGCGAGGGCGCAGGCCAACGGCGAGCCCCCCCCGGGCGGGCCCCAGACCCTCCTCCTCCTCCTCCTCCTCTTCCTCCTCCTCCTCCTCCTCCGCACCCACCGCCCCCGCCTCGGCCTCGCTGCCTCGCCTCCACAACGCCCAGTCTGCACCGCCGAGAGCTGCGCGCCGCAGCGCTAGCGGAGGAGAGGGGCCGGCGGAGCGCGCAGCGCCCAGGCCCCCGCGCCCGCCCGGCCCGGCCCGCGCCCCCGCGCAGCCTCGGCTACGACGCGGCTGCGGCCGCACCACTTGGCGATCTGGCTTTAGGTTCTTCGTAAGGCCGTTTTCTTTTCCCATTCGCTCATCTGCCAGGAAAAGGGACTTGCCGTTGGCGCTTCGGCCTCTTGTTCATTGAGAAAAAAGAGGAAATACTCCGCGTGCGCTTCTAGAAGGGGGGTCGTCTCCAGCCCCGCACCCCAGAGTGTTCATCAGCGGGGAATTTGGCTCCGAATTCTCCTCCTTTTTTCTCCCGCCGATTGCTCGGAAGTTGGACTGAAGCAGAGGTTGGAAAGAAAGGGAAAAAAGTTTGCATCGAGATTGGATTTATTTGCACATCGCAGAAAGAAGAGAATCCAAGGGAGAGGGGTTGGTGCAAAGCCGCGATCACGGTGAGGCACGTTTGGCTCTTCCCCTCCTGGCGCCGTGGCCGGCGCGTTGTGGGCAACATGGAGTAGGTGCAGCCGGACCAGGAGTTGGGTCCGTCTCTCCCCGAGCCTCCCCTTCTCAAATCCCGCAGGGTCTTCGCGAGGATCCGGGGCGCTCCCCGTGAACCTGCCTTGCCCGGGGCTCGGGCTCGGCCTGCCTCTGCGGGGACTTCTGTATGCACCCGGTGCAGTGTCCCCGGCAGGCGACCCCGCGCGCCCGCGCTCTAGGGGGTTGGGACAGAGGACAGCTCGCAGCCTGCTCACAGCCATGCACTGGCCGCGAATTCGGCGCTGAGAGCGAGAGAGGGAGAGAAAGACACTTTGTATTTTCCAGGTCGCCTTTGCAGGCGCCCGCATTTCTAACCTGTTCCTCCTCCTGGTGGAAGGCAAAGTCCGGAGAGAGGCTGTCCCTAAGCGGGGCGCTGGTGGGGCTGGGGGACACGGGTTGCTCGCCTCGGGGGCAGGAGACCCCCAGGGTGAGAAAAAGGCAGGGTGCCGGGTTGAGGGAGTCCCCGCCTCTGCTCCGTGTGGACGGTCTAGCCCGGAGCGGGTGGGAGCGTCGCCCTGCCTGGCGCCGGGTCTCTGCGGTTCGGAAGTGCAGCTCTCTCTCTTTTCCGTTCTTCGTGGTCAGCCTAGGTCACACTTATTTTATTTTTGGAAGCTCAGGCTGACCCAGCGCAGGAAGAAAGTCATCAAGCGGTCGCGATCATTTTCCATTACCTGAAAGTAGGTGGCAAAAGAGGCAGTTTTTTATTTCCTTTTGTTGTTGTTGTTGCTGTGTTTTAATTTGGATTCTTGTGTGTTTTTTACAAAGCAGTTTCTGTGTCCGTTTGCCCCACCCTAGAGCTGAAGTTCTTTTCCCCTAATCCTCAGTCTGATCACACACTGTTCTTAATGGGGGTTTCAAAGCACTTTCAAAGGGGAGGGGGGACTGGGAAAGAGAAGAGGGGCGGAGGTGGGGAGTCCAGCTTCGAAGAAGGAGGCCAGGGATCGGATCGGCAGAAATCACTTAAAAAATAAAATAAAAAAGGCCCCTTTTCTTTCAAAGATGCTACTTTGACTGCAAGCAAATCTGCACCAAAAGTTTACAGCTCCGGGAACTGGGTTCTGCGCGCCCAGAGTGAGCAGTGGGGCCCTGGAAAATGCCCTTTTTTTAAAAAAAAGCAATTTTTCTTTCACTTTAAGAAATATGATATATATAGATAGATAGATAGATAGATAGATTTTTTTTTTTTTTTTTTTTGTCTCTCTCGACCCAAAAGGAGATAGGCGTGTGCAGATTACAGGCAATGCCCCCTTCGGTCAGTGCAGCGTGGAGTCGCTGTGTGTGCGTGGGTTGGACTTGTGCGTCCTGGCTGCGTGTCTCAGGCAGGGCTTTCGTGCTCGCCGTGTCAGGGTGGCAAACCTGTGCCGGATGTCCGAGGGGCTTTGCAGAAAGCCTAGCAGTCGGCAGCGTAACCTGTGCCTCGGGGCGGAGTGGCTCCTTGGGGCTGCAAGGCAGTTCCCTTGAGTTGGGGGAGATCTTAACTGGGGAGAGGGAGGCGGGGGAAGTGTGCTTCTGCATTTCGTGACACGTCCCCTTCGGAGGCGCCCGCGGCCCCCGCCTGTCTGTGAGTCTTGTCTGTGAGTCTTGGGATCGTAAGCAGGGGGGCAGCCTGGCCCATGGACAGCGTCAGTCCGCCTGGAGAAACGTACCCTGGGGATCGGCTGTGTCCCACCTGCTGGGGACGGTGTTGGGGCACAGAGAGGCGATGAACTAAGTGAAAGCAAAGGGCAGCGTTGTCTTCTGCCATTCTTTTGGAGGTGAGGAGATCCGGTTTCCAGCGCTGCCTTGCTCCGAATTGGGAGACGTTTGTCACCTGCCTTGTTCGCTGTGGCCTCTATTCTAAAGAGCAGAGGTTGGATAAAGGTCCGCTTTGCCTGTTTTATGCTTTTTATTGCCGTATAGGCTTGGGAAATTGGGTGATCGTTTTGAAATTGAAGAAGGACTATAGTTTAAGGAATTCCTTGACAGAATGCTAGATATGAAATGTGACATTTGAATTTTTAAAACACTTTTCTGGTTATCATTTCGTTTGTGTTCTCAATTAATTTTTTGAAAACAGAAAATTAGTTGAGCTTTTGACATGCTTCATTTCTAAAACAGGGAGAACAACCTTTTAGCAGCAGAATCTAAGGTGGTGTTTTAGGCTATCAGACTGTAAAATACTTAATTCTTAAGTTGTTGAGAAGTTGAAAATAAATTCTTGTCTTCTTGTTGTGTAAGTTTGCTTTAATGTGTTTCTGGCACCTAATAGGATTTCATTTGCTTTTAGTTCTATAACTTTGTGCTACGATACAATTAATTAAAAATGGCATGATTGTTATAAAATTTTTAACTGTTTTGGGTATTTACTTTTTTGCATGCCATATTAATTCTACCGGGTTTGAAAAAGTTACAGAATACTGGATACGTCACAGTTAAAGTGTTTGATGTAAAAGTAAAAACTAAGAACCAGAAAGAATCTTAAGGCAAAAATGGCCGTGACAAATGGAAACCTATTTCAAATTTTGAAAAGATTTTCAACTTTTGAAAACGTTGGTAGCAGTGTTATATTCTAGCAATACTTTCTTGCGGTTTTTACATTGAACCTGAGCCTTACAACTTGTATGTTTCTTTGAATAAGGAGTTCTTACTTAAGTGACTCAAAGATCAGCTTTGTGTTGTTGTACATCACGGGATTGCAGAATTGTCAGTAGCCAGTCGTAATTTTTACTTTTGGGTACAGGCGTTGTTGATCATATGGCTAATACCTCCCCACTGCCATTCCATTTCAAATCCTGTTTCTCTAGGGAAAGTGGGAAGTGAGGAGTCAATTCAGGTGGGTGGAGAGTGGGAAGTATCTTAGAGTATCAACCGTTCTTTCCTCTTGGCTTCCTCAGGAGTTCAGATGTGTTCTAAGCCTGCTGGAGTGACCACACTTCCAAGACCTGATGGAGGCCAGAGCTCAGAGTGGCAACGGGTCACAGCCCTTGCTGCAGACGCCCCGTGACGGTGGCAGACAGCGTGGGGAGCCCGACCCCAGAGACGCCCTCACCCAGCAGGTACATGTCTTGTCTCTGGATCAGATCAGAGCCATCCGAAACACCAATGAGTACACAGAGGGGCCTACTGTCGTCCCAAGACCTGGGCTCAAGCCTGCTCCTCGCCCCTCCACTCAGCACAAACACGAGAGACTCCACGGGCTGCCCGAGCACCGCCAGCCTCCCAGGCTCCAGCACTCGCAGGTCCATTCTTCTGCACGAGCCCCTCTGTCCAGATCCATAAGCACGGTCAGCTCAGGGTCGCGGAGCAGTACGAGGACAAGTACCAGCAGCAGCTCCTCTGAACAGAGACTGCTAGGATCATCCTTTTCCTCCGGGCCTGTTGCTGATGGGATAATCCGGGTGCAACCCAAATCTGAGCTCAAGCCAGGTGAGCTTAAGCCACTGAGCAAGGAAGATTTGGGCCTGCATGCCTACAGGTGTGAGGACTGTGGCAAGTGCAAATGTAAGGAGTGCACCTACCCAAGGCCTCTGCCATCAGACTGGATCTGCGACAAGCAGTGCCTTTGCTCGGCCCAGAACGTGATTGACTATGGGACTTGTGTATGCTGTGTGAAAGGTCTCTTCTATCACTGTTCTAATGATGATGAGGACAACTGTGCTGACAACCCATGTTCTTGCAGCCAGTCTCACTGTTGTACACGATGGTCGGCCATGGGTGTCATGTCCCTCTTTTTGCCTTGTTTATGGTGTTACCTTCCAGCCAAGGGTTGCCTTAAATTGTGCCAGGGGTGTTATGACCGGGTTAACAGGCCTGGATGCCGTTGTAAAAACTCAAACACAGTTTGCTGCAAAGTTCCCACTGTCCCCCCCAGGAACTTTGAAAAACCAACATAGCATCATTAATCAGGAATATTACAGTAATGAGGATTTTTTCTTTCTTTTTTTAACACACATATGCAACCAACTAAACAGTTATAACCTTGGCACTGTTAATAGAGAGTTGGGATAGTCTTTGCTGTTTGCAGTGAAATGCTTTTTGTCCATGTGCCATTTTAACTGATATGCTTGTTAGAACTCAGCTAATGGAGCTCAAAGTATGAGATACAGAACTTGGTGACCCATGTATTGCATAAGCTAAAGCAACACAGACACTCCTAGGCAAAGTTTTTGTTTGTGAATAGTACTTGCAAAACTTGTAAATTAGCAGATGACTTTTTTCCATTGTTTTCTCCAGAGAGAATGTGCTATATTTTTGTATATACAATAATATTTGCAACTGTGAAAAACAAGTTGTGCTATACTACATGGCACAGTCACAAAATATTATACTAATATGTTGTACATTCGGAAGAATGTGAATCAATCAGTATGTTTTTAGATTGTATTTTGCCTTACAGAAAGCCTTTATTGTAAGACTCTGATTTCCCTTTGGACTTCATGTATATTGTACAGTTACAGTAAAATTCAACCTTTATTTTCTAATTTTTTCAACATATTGTTTAGTGTAAAGAATATTTATTTGAAGTTTTATTATTTTATAAAAAAGAATATTTATTTTAAGAGGCATCTTACAAATTTTGCCCCTTTTATGAGGATGTGATAGTTGCTGCAAATGAGGGGTTACAGATGCATATGTCCAATATAAAATAGAAAATATATTAACGTTTGAAATTAAACTGAGCTGTTTTGTCTTCTTTTATCTTTTGTTTCTTTCAAGTGTGAGAAACTGCATTTTATGTTAAGGGTAACGTTTTAATGAAATAGTTAACCACTTTTCTGTAGAATTATTTTGTGATTGCTGCTTTAAAGTAAGCTGGATTTGATGACTTTCAGAGACAATTGTAGCAATCAACAGAACTAACAACATTTGACTTAATATCTATACTTATAAGAGAGCTTATTTTAGCTATGTAATTGTTCTTGTTCTTCTCCCCCCCCGCCCTTTTTTTTATTTTTATATTTGCAGATTATCTGACTTGTGTTTATTTTGCAGAGGTTTTTTTTTTTGGTTTTTTTTTTTAATCTTTGAACTGATTTATTCAGGAGACTTTCCTTAAAAATTAACAGTTAGGTGTTTTCTTTATATACAGTATCAAGGATTAATTCCATGAGGATAATTCAAGACTAGTGAATTGAGTTTAGCTCAACAAACATTTATTGAATGTCACCTGTGTCTCAGACATGCAGTATCCACAGATCAGTTCTTACAATTAAGGTCAAAAATATTTTCTTGACTTAGCTGATCGTGGCAGTGTTTTTTCCAGTCTATGTAATTTTTGACTCTGAAACATCACCATTTTACCAAATTCCTTATGTTAGAAAAGACATGAAAAAAAGAACTTGCTTTGATTCTGGTATTTGGTATCATAAAATTTGATCTGATATTGGTCTTACTCAAGCCAAAGAAGGCCAGTTTAGGGCCCTGACTTATTCAATCAGATTATTCAGAAAATTGTTAAATTTTGCTCTGGGAAAAAGATGCAGCATGAGAGTCAGTGTACTTGGAGTTGTCTTTTAGAAGCAAAGGTACAGCAAGCTGCTGCAAGCCCATCTTGATAAATACTAGGTTTTAAGTCACTTGATTAGTCACTTTGTGGCTGATGATTTTTTTTTCCCAAAAGTGCAAACTTTTTCTGCCAAGAGTCACCGGAAGTCTAGAAAATAATTTACCTGTCATTATTGTTTAATCTCTTGTTTCCTGTTGTGAGGCTCCTTCTTATTAGGTTAAGTCTTAGTACAGGTTGTCTTCTGTTTTGTTTTTTAAAATTGGCTTTCAAGGAACTATATAGCCCCTTACACTAAGACATTGCTCTAAGGACCTTCAGTTTCCTCTGACCTCCTCTAAGAAACATAGGATTAATTTAGAAATGATCTGAGCTTCAACTTTGAGTTACTGAATGTTTCGATTCTAACACTTTTAAAACTTCACCCTGGTGATCTAAGGAAGAATTCGATTGCTGGAAAATAGGGTAGGGTTTCTTATTCATTATATAGTTTTCAAGATTTGTAAAGCACAAAAAGTTTGACTGATTAGCTTTGTTCATCAAAAACTGCCATGTGCATTGACAGAGCTCTTTTTGGTATAGAAATTGTGAGTTAAATATATATATATATTTTTCACCGCATAAGTGGCTTTGAAAGTATTCTTACGCAAATTGCATCAGATGCCATTGAGTGTTTATTGAAAAAGTAAGAACCTCTTCCCATAGTTACTGAGTCAGAATCTGATGGTGTGGCCTAGGAGTTAGCATTTTTAATCATTCTACAAGTGATTATGTGCAGTATGGCAACTACTGACCTAGCAATTGCTTTCTAATTCAGTTTTTTAATGGGCTCTGATCTTAAGTATAACTCATTGGTTCGAATATAGAGCATAAAGTGATAGTCAACTGAAATTGGAAGAGAATTTGAATTAAGTATATTAAGTCCTATGAAATAATTTGTTTAAAGATATATAAGAAAATGGGAGGCCAGGCATGGTGGCTCACGCCTGTAATCCCAACACTTTGGGAGACTGAGGCAAGTGGATCACTTGAGGTCAGGTGTTGTGGGAAGTCAGGGACCCTGAATGGATATCGGTGGGACCCGCCCCCGATAGTCAGGAGTTTGAGACCAGTCTGGCCAACACGGTGAAACCCCGTCTCTAAAAATACAAAAATTAGTGGGCGTGGTGGCAGGCACCTATAATCCTAGCTACTTGAGAGGCTGAGGCAGGAGAATTGTTTGAACTTGGGAGGTGGAGGTTGAAGTGAGCCAAGATCGTGTCACTGTACTCCAGCCTGGAGGACAGAGTAAGACTCTCTCCCAAAAAAAAAAAAAAGAAAATTGGATTTCTCAAGAAGCTTCCAACTAACCTGTTAAATGTTGGCTTTATCTATATACCAGCATAGAATTAACTTTCAAAATTTGGAAGATTAAATACTTATATCTAAATAGATTAAAAACAACTGGCACTCACTCATTCACTGCATTAAAAATAATCTATTTTTTTTATTTTCATTTTTTGAGACAAAGTCTTGCTCTGTCACCCAGGCTGGAGTGCAGTGGTGCGATCTCAACTCACTGCAACCTCTGCGTCCTGGGTTCAAGAGAGTCCCCTGCTTCATTTCAGCTTCCTGAGTAGCTGGGATTTGGGCATGCACCACCAGGCCCTGCTAATTTTTGTATTTTCTGTAGAGACAGGGTTTCACTATGTTGGTCAGGCTGGTCTCGAACACCCGACCTCAGGTGATCTGCCCACATCAGCCTCCCAAAGTGCTGGGATTACAGGCGTGAGCCACCGTACCCGGCAATTTTATTTTTTATGTTATTATAATTTTTTGAGGTGGAATTTCGCTGTATCGCCCAGACTGGAGTGCAGTGGTGGGATCTTGGCTCACTGCAACCTCTGCCTCCCAGGTTCAAGCCATTCTGCCTCAGCCTCCCAAGTAAGTGGGACTACAGGGACGCGCCACCACACCTAGCTAATTTTTGTATGTTTATTAGAGGTTGTGTTTCGCCATGTTGACCAAGCTGGTCTCGAACTCCTGACCTCAGGTGATCCATCACATTTGGCCAAAAATAATTTTTTTAATGTTGCAAATTATCTCACTTGGGAAAAAATATGGAGAAATAACCTCAATTTCTTAATCTCTATTTTAAGTTCATGAAAAATTGTAACATGATAAATTTGTAATCCAATGGCCATTATTTTGATGTGATAGAGTAGAAGTATGATGATAATGCAAACATAACTGCTAAGCATTTAGGGGAATTTTAATACATTTTTGTGGTTTCTTGCTTTTTAATTTTTTTTAAACCTGTGGATGCTCTATATTTGAGATTCATTTAAGAATGACAACTTGATTGTTGTTACTTAAAACATTCATTTATGTGTTTTGAGGAGGAGATTTTAAGGCCCTGCCAAACTTCTGCCATGTTGTAGCTTGCTCTGGGGATTGTCTGTGAGAGAAGAAAGCCAAAACCCAGGCAAGTAATCCCAACCAAACTTTTTACGTAACTTCTTTCTTCAGTATACTTCTGTCTCAAGGACTACTTGACTCCAGGATATGTAAGTTAAGGTACTGATGATGTCAGATAAATGAATTTGCTCTTGCACAGTGCTGCAAGGTATTTGATACGCAGTTGATGGGTTTGATGTAATTTATTAACTTTTAAGCATTTAGGTCAAAATTTTCAAAGGTTTAATGGTTTTAGAGTTTCACTTGAAGTCATACCCACAATTGGCCATTTGTCTTCCTCTCCTAAATGTGCACAAGGACCAAGGTAAAAACACAGAAGTTTCAAGTTTGAAAATGGGCTTAATTGTACAGATCAAAAACAGGTCTGTCAACTTATGGAGAATATTTTACATTATTTTCACAAAGAAAACATATAATAGTAGGTTATTAACTAGTCACATCATTATTGTTATTGTATCAGTATCCAGTCTCTGGTTTGCAATATCCGTTAAGACAAAAGTCATGTTAATTTCTATTTTAATTTGGTCTAATGCTTCACTTCTTTATGACATACTAAGGGTGGGTCTCCATTGAGTGAAGTCCAGATTAGAATTTTAACAAGGCCTGTCCGATTTGACCTAAAACTGATCATCAGAGTCAAACTATACATCTGGAGTATTTCATCATGGGTTTGGCCATTCACAAGAGGATAAGAGATTGTATATGTCTTATACTGTAGATTTTATTTGTATGCCACACTGCCATTCCCCTTTCACCACAAGAGACAACTGTGAATAATGAGAGGCAAAATGTGAATACCGCTGATGATACTGCATCTCTGGTCAAAATTTAACTTAACACTTTCATTTAATTTACAATCAAAGAAAAAAGGGAGATAGAAATATAGCAAAAGAGGAACAAATTAACATGTAAACTTTTTTCCATGCCTAGCAAATGTTTTACATTTTTATTAGTGCATTTTGAGTGACTTAAATAATTTTTAAAAGTCAATCTTATTTGGCAACTCATACTTTTTTTTTTTTTTTTTTTAAATAAACAATTAGAGGAGATTAGAAAGAAGCCTTGGCCTGTGGCTTGGCTAGATGAGACATGTAAGGCTTCAGCATCACTTACGAATTTATTTCTCAAAACAGTTGCTAATACACAGAGAAGAATAAATAATTTGACTTTATGAACCACCGCGCTCAGTCACTATGTTTATTCTAATATTCTTAATTATTCTTATTATTAAGTCAAATTAAGTCTTGGAAGAAAATTTGGGCACAGAACTATATATTTGGCATTTCAACTTAGTTTTTGGATGCCTACTACTTACAAATTACAGGGCTAGTTGATCTAATGCAAAAGGAAAGTGGCAGCAACTCTAATGCAAGATAGGACTTACAACAGAAGTACAAGCAAAATGCTGTAAGTACAGAAATTGAGGGAAACATTGATGCAGTCTCATTAGTTGATTTGATCACCATGTCTTTGCAATGGTTTCAGATTAATCTTAAATATCCCAAGAATTTTTGCTAAGACAGTTACAACAGAATTAGCATCACTCATTAAATAAAACTATGCTCACCATCCTCATATCTACTTACTAAAATGAATTGTAGAGATGTTTAATGAATATGTGAACAACTGTATGTTGCTATGTTCATTCTTTTTTTTTTTTTTTGAGATGGAGTTTCGCTCTTGTTGGCTAGGCTGGAGTGTAGGGGCATGATCTC